CCGCTTATCCGACCGGCGGAGAAAAATTGGTTCAACTTTTAAATTTTCCTCGACCGCGAAAACAGGAATATTACACCATTGCGTGGGGCTTAGGATGCAGCTACGCGGTGTGTGACGCCAAAAGTGATCGAACTTCTTCAAAATAACGAACTGTGAATTACTCATTAGGGCATTAAAGTACGGTAAGAACGTGAAAGAAATAAGAACTTTTTGTTTACTTATTATAAATAGTCCGTGCTGAGATTCTATCTGCTCTTTTTAGACACTTTTATCAGCTGCCGCGAGAAGAAATACGGTATCACGTAAGAATTCTCGTTACGTCTCGTGTATCGAGGTAATATGGGGGCACTTGTGTGAGAAACACGAGTAGTATGGATTGTATTGTATTTCATTGGATAACATAATGTGAAATAAACGTAACTATCGTCGTTCTATACTACCTATATATTCATCCATGTACGTACACGTCTTTTTCATGTATTTTTCTATCACGTTTCGACTAGATACAAAGTGGATCACAATGTTCGATGTAGTCGTCATGGCATCGAATATTGTATTTCTCGGATCTAACCCAGTTGTCGCGTGTACTACAAAAGTGCTACAAACGTGTTCGTGCCACGTATGAATGCTGCATTTACAGGGTCTTCCTTTTAACTGAATATACACCAAAATGTTTCGAAAATTGTTTAAGATGTTTAAAAATGTGAGAATTATTTTACATGGAAGTGTATACTTTTTATTATAGATATAGTAGCAGGGAGAATTTCAAAGCCTAGTTAAATTTTCTAAGTAAAATATACATTTATATATAGGGTGTTCGGCCACACCTGGGAAAAATTTTAATGGGGGATTCTAGAGGCCAAAATAAGACGAAAATCAAGAATACCAATTTGTTGATGGAGGCTTCGTTAAAAAGTTATTAACAGTTAAATTAAAAAATTTCAAATCGTTCTGGTAAAATTATTTTCGGTTGCGGGGGTAAATTACAATCATTTTTTATGAATAGACATACCCCCGAAATTCTGTGCATCTTCGAGAAAAAAATTCAGTACGGGCGGAACTTTAAACGTTAATAACTTTTTAACAAAGCCTCCATCAACAAATTGATATTCTTGATTTCCATCTTATTTTGGCCTCTAGGAACACTTTTAAAATTTTTCCCAGGGGTGGCCGAACACCCTGTATACATACAGGATGTCCACGCTAAAGTGCGACAGTCGCGATATTTCAGTAACTATTGATGATACGAAAAAATAGTTCATATAAAAATTGCAGGATAAAATAGGATCTTTATTTTGGCGTAAACGAAAATTTTGTTTATATTATTAATTTCAAAGATACGATGGTGAAGTTTCGTTTTTTAAATGGAACTATATATTCTTGTTGGATCATGCGATATTGCTTTTCAAGACGAATTCATTAACCTGCAATTTATTCACCCGATTTTTATTAGTTTTCAAGATATAACGCTTGGAAATTTACTGATTTTCGGCGGAGACGCATCGGTTTGAGTGGCAAGTCATAAAAGCGGTTCTACTGTGTCTGTTGAAACCGATAGCAAGGGTCTACGCTCGGAAGAGCAGGCCCGAAAAGTAAGAAACATGGAAAGTATTGTCCATCACGGTCCAAGTTTTCCGCATCGAGGATGGAGTCGTTAATAATTTGGATGATTAGTACTTTCCATGTTTCTTATTCTTCGGGCCTGCCGTTCCGAGCTAGACCTTTACTGTCGGTTTCCACAGGCGGAGTCAAACAGCGCAACAATAAGACCGTTTTTATGACTGACCACTCAAGCCAAGACGTCTCCGTTGAAAATCAGTAAATTTCTAAGCGTTATATTTTGAAAACTAATAAAAATCGGGTGAATAAATTGCAGGTTAATGAATTCGTCTTGAAAAACAATATCGCATGATCCAAAAAAAAATATATAGTTCCATTTAAAAAATGAAACTTCACCATCGCTTTTACGCCAAAATAAAGATCCTATTTTATCCTACAATTTTCATATAAACTATTTTTTCGTATCATCAATAGTTATTGAAATATCGCGACTGTCACACTTTAGCGTGGACACCCTGTATAATATTCCATATGCTCAGAATTCATGATAAAGTTTTCAAGTGGTTCCAAAAATAAATTTCCATCCGGTTTAAGTACGTAAAACGAGAGGGTCGGTCGAGAGATTTCTGTACGATCCATACATCCGTTAGAAAATTATTCGTTCATGAACCGTCTGGCTATTTGGCTGAAACAGGACGGCGGGACGTTATGCATAAATCATGTGCGATGTACAACGCGTCTAATGGAACGTCTTCCAATAATTCATGCAATTGATTACTCGATAAATTGTCGTAAGATCGTCCTGTCAATTTCCTATTAAGGAAAACACTGAGTTATCGATCATATAAACAGTCTAACGCAATTCGTCAGTAATAAACAGACTGTCTCTATACAATAAACATCTTTTATCAATTTTGGGACTTTGATACCTGATACACGCTGTGTATCAAAAAGTAACATTTTAATAACTGCTACCGGTTGCTCTCCAAATAAAAACCAATCTGTACGATTTGTAAGATGAAAATACGTACAAATAACTTTTGGTACAAACGTGCCCCAATATTGAACATTGACGTACAACTTTCAAATTTGACGAGTGCCCGTCCGCCGGTTTGGTACGAACAATTTCCGCGAGGAAATGCGTTAAAATCGAAAAACAGAGAAACGTCGGTTAAATATAAAAAATTTCAAGCAGAAAAAAAGATTTATTATACGGCCTCGAAATTTGATCGAAAAAAGAACGATATTTCATGCGCGTTAATACACACCCACGAAGCTCGCGTAAGCGGGGGAAAACGAAAAACTCTGGGGGGAAAAAGGGAGAATTTCGTGCAGTGATTAATCGCGCGCGCGACCGCGGGAAAAAAGTGCTTAGCTCGCGGCAAGCTCCGCGATTTAGTTTGTCGCTCACAATTAGTAATAGCGCCTTTGGTCGGCAAATCGCTTTAAATCGCGCCAATTTCGATCGTCCGGGCCAGAGACCACCGCGTGGAAAAGTTGGCCCCCGCGCTTTTTAATTAGAGAACTTTTTCGGCCACTCGAGAAGATCGCGTTACCAAAGTGAAGGCCAGTTCGAGGCTGTTAATTATATTTTTTTTTATTCCGCGAAAAGACATCGACGGGCGGAGCAGAGAGGACCGAAAGGAACACGTTCGCCCCACCTGGATCGACTTTATAACAAATAAAGCCGAAATCATCGGCGAATTTGAGAGATTCGAGCAAATATCCGCGATTTATGAGGGCCTGGCGCCGGATGGCGATGGCATTGATACGAAATGGCCGACAGTCGAGATTCAAAAAAGCGAAAGAGAAAAGGTAAAAAATACCGATGCGTTTCCGAGCATCGATGCGAAGAGAGGAATAGGGAAGCGGCTGCGACGGATGTTGCCACGGAGAGAGAGAGTGAGAGAAAGAAAGAGAGAACGAAGCGTAAAAACTAGAAGCTCCTTGGAATGGTTTCTCGCCACGAAACGGTTCTTTCTCTTTTTCCGGGGATGGAGAAGAATACGAGAAATTGCGAGCAAAAATATCCGCCATTCCGAAGTTGAAATCGAATTAAAAAGCTGGCCGAGCCAATTAAGGCGTTTCGCGAAAGTTTAAGAGATTCTTGCCGGAAAAGGGTAAGCTTTCCCGGGGTGCACGTCGGCCGCGTTTTTTTTTCTATTACGTCGCCTTCCGCTTGGTCGCCGAACTGGGCGCCATTAAGCTGTTCGCTCTTCCGTATAAATAGAAAGGAAAAAAAGATCCCCCACCGGACCCTAGCACGGAAGAAGAAGAAAAGCTTCGTTTAATTTCAACAAAATTTAGCTCGTTATCTTGCCGCCTCGTTCGCGGTTCGCTGGCTATTTCGATAATTTCTATTTTACTTCGAAAACGTCGCGAACGAACGGGGGTACAATACCTGAAAACATCAACGATGCTTCCTATTCGAACGCGACACTATAACGGAACCCTTCGGGAGCCAGCAAGGAGTTCTGGTATATTTTTATTTTATTTTCATTGGAAGGATTTAAGAAAACAAATTTCTGGAAAAGCTTGATTCGTTAGGGGGTGAATTCTATCTGCGAAAGCGTTACTTTAGAGTGCTAAACTTGTAGTAATAGAACCCTTCGGAGCCAGTAAGAGTTGTTACTATATTTTTATTTTATCTTCGTTGCAAAGATTAAAAAAAAACTAATTTCTGGAATGGCTTGATTCGCAAGAGGGTGAGTTTGATCTATTAAGTGTTAATTGAGAGTGGAAAACTTGTAGTATCAGAACCCTTGGAAGCCTGGCTGTTGCTAGTATATGTTTATTTTATCTTTGTTGCAAAGATTCAAAAAAACAAATTTCTGGAATAGCTGGATTCGCAAGAGGGTGAGTTTGATCTGTGAAAGTGGTAATTTAGAGTGTAAAACTTGTAGTATCGGAACCCTTCAGAGCCAGCAAGAGTTATTGTATTGTGTATGTTGTATTTTATCTTAGTTGCAAAGATTAAAAAAAACAAATTTCTAGAATAGCTAGACTCGCAAGGGGGTGAGTTTAATCTATAAAAGTGTTAGTTTAGAATGCAAAACTTGTAATAACAGAACCCTTTGACGCCATCAACTATCTCTTGACAATATTGAACAGTACACATCACATATTGTAATTTAAATTGTAATCGACCATTATTATATTTAAGTAATAAAATTGTTTGAATATATTTTGCATATTCCTGTATATTTTGGCATTTTATTGATGCATATTCCACATATGTTTCTTCCATGTTTTAACATATGTTATTGACATAAACATCCTAGTCATCATCCACAAATGGATGGATCCATGGGAACAGATGATGGAAGCGATTTTTTGTTGATTTTGAAATGTTCGTTTCGATACCACCATGTAGTCCTCGTTCGAGAGGAATTCACGTCGATGAGAGTCGTTAGTTAAATATAAAAGTTATGGATACTTACTTTCGTAGACTTTGAGCTGCGCCTCGGCTGACACTGCGTCACCAACTCCATTCTCGGCCAGACACTCGTACAGGGCGTTGTCGCGGAACGGTTGTTGTCGCGTACCTGGCCTGACAGGTTCGATCCGTAGTGCAGCTCCGTTTGTGTAGTTCTGCACCATGTACCGTGCCTGTGCATCTGCGGCATAACGCAAAAGATTCGGATGAATGAAGAGAAATAAAAAGATTCGGGTCAATTTTGATTTCTCAACCGGGACTATGCATTTGACATTAATTGGTGCGATTTGTTACTCCGTGTAAAAATTCCAAGCCACTTTATTCGTCGATAAAGGTTGGCAACAAAATTTATACATATACTATTTATTTAATAAAAAAAAGCGTTTTTGTCACTTGGAAATATGTTTTCAAAAATATGGTGATCTTTTGAACACATCCGGATGATCAAACTTCTTAAGCTTTCCACAAAATGATTAATATTTATCAGTTCCATATCAATTAAGTTGTACATAACCTGAATGGTTTAGTAAATGTCACAGACCGTATTAGTTCAATTGTGTCAGGGCAGCTAATCTCACGTATATTGTAAATAATCTGATTATTTTTAGAACGAGATCATATATAACGTACGATTTGCCCCGTTTTCTCGCGCGAGGAAAGGTCAACGATTCATTGCGCTCGTTCCTATAATAGAAAGGAAGGTTTGCTCGAGGTCGCGACAAAAATTTGATTAAAAAAATAAAACTCAGCGAATTTTGGCGCCGCGAATCGATTCGAAATCGACGACAATCGTCGAAGCCAGGATAAAAGCGACCATTCCGGCGTTAACCGGCACGATTTTTCGCGGCGTTGAGAATTTTCAACGGTTAATCGGGCCCAGTGCGCTCTCTCCGAATAAATTCCGGTTCCGGTTTCACGGGTTCACGACTGCGTGACGGCGGCTTGGCGAACAGTCGCGCGAGATCGTTGGCAAACTCGATTAAGGGGTTATTCTGGTCTAGAAAGGCGAAACACAGTCGGTATTATTTATAATTTGTTGCATTTTTCAAACGTTCATTATCTTTCGTTATCTTGTCGAGCTCAGAGAAGAATAACTAACAACACAACGTGAAACATATTTATTTTTTGTTAATGGATCTTTTATTAATATATTTTTGAAGTTTTTCTGATTAAAATAAGACCTATTATTAATCACCTATTCAATTTACTTATTGTTTGTAGGCAGATTGTAAATTTTATGCAAAAAAAGACCAAACACAGTATAACTTGGATTATATTTGTGTATTTAATCGTATTTAACACAATTTTGTACTTTATTAGAAGCAGGTTAAAAACAAATTATATCGTGTTTGGTCTTATTTTAGCCGTAAAACTCTCGCAAATACATTGGTAAAAGTTTCATTAAAGCAAAAATACAAATAAAAAAGTTTCATCTTTGCATTATGTACTATGTATGCATTCTTTCGTAGATATTCGAGCCCAGATCAGGTCGCACTGCACGGTCCGCTCGACGTTGAGCTTCGAAGCGTGTCAAGGGGAGTCTGTAGTAAGGACGACTACCGTTCACTTATCCAGTCGAAAATGACTCGCAGTTATCCAAGCATTCCTGTACAGTCATCATCTATGCAGAATTTGCATTCGTTCGGTCAATATCAACATTTACTATTTCTTTAGCAGTAACATAGATTCTTCACAGTACTAATTTTACCTATATTTTGCAACAGTTTGTATAACGCGTTAAAATACCCAACCCTTTATTCATCGAATTACCGTTGTAATTTACCGTAAAAGCAACGGGTGGAGTATCGTAACAAAGAATCCTGGCTTCAGCCATTCGCGTCGAGGATCGCAATCGTACGGTAATCCGACTCTTTAGCTCGCTTCCGGTTCCGATTTCTGTTTCGCAACGACGTCGCATTTTCGTCGAGTTGTCGGTTCTCGTCTTCTTCTTTCGAAGTAAATTTCGCGCTCGTCGGAGTCCCGGAAGCGCGCCGGCTGTTGCCAGGAGTCGAAGCGGGTCCGGTTTCAAGAGTTTCGGAAACTGGCCGGGGATCGTCGCGTCTCCGGGCGTGTTCCTCGCGACTCGCCAAAGTAGACTCGTCGCAATTCTCTCTCGAGAGAGATTCGATTATCCTTGGCCGTCGCTTCGGCCGAGCGTAAACCGAGCGTCGCGTGTTTGTTCGCCGCTGTTAGTCTCGCCCGATTCGGTAAGTCGATATCCGGGATTCGCGCTCGATTCCGTCTGTTCGCTCGAGGATGGGAATCTTGCCGCGTGAAATTCGACGCGGCCATTCCCGACGAGTTTCGATTGGAAAAACAGCCTCGAGCCGCCGATATTAACCCTTTACCGCGTTCGACGTGCCCGCCAAGAATTCAAAGGCCGTAAAAAAGGGAATATATAGAGAATCTTCAGTTTGAACTGTATTAGAACGTCTAACAACGTGTATTAAAAATATAAGAACTTTGGACCAAACAAAAACAGTTCCAAAACTACTAGTGCTTTATTAAAAATTGAGCCACAGTTAGAAGCGGCAAAGCTTCCCCTTTAAAATGGCTTTTGGATTATGTTGATCCGACTTTCCGTTTTCGAGATATCATCGTGTAAAGAAAAGCGTAATTTTTAAAATTCCACTGTGCCTCGCTCTCTGCCGCATAGAAATCTATTAAAGCGTAAAATAAAAATATAAAAACTTTACATAACCAATGTAAATAGCAACATCAGACCAGAAATAGACATTCTATATCCAACATTCATTTTTTCCAACTATTCCGATACTATTAATATACTCTTCGGAAAGCGTCCTTTCGCGCACCATTCCAATTTTACCTGGTCGCGAGAGTCCATGCAACAATATGAAAGGGTAATTTTTTTAATTCGACTATCTCTATCTTCGTTTGGTGCGTCATTGACCTCGCGCCGGTGTCATCAATGAAACGTAAACAAACGCTCGGATCCTCGTATCTCCGGAACTAGCCACCCCATCGACTTGAAACTAAAATCGTCATATCTCCGGAACTAATTACGCTATCGACTATTGTACTTTATTTTGTCTTGTATGTTTATTTTTAAATTTACTTTGACACTATGCACCCAAAGAAGTTTTAGCAATTTCTATCGATTATACGACGGATGTACGATAAAACTGGATTATAAATTCTTTATTTAATTGAAAATGAATTGAAATTTAAATACAGGATGTTTGTGTAGAAAATAAATTTTTGTTTTTGTGGGTTCTACAACAAAAGAAGGAAACTTCAACGTGTACTATTATCATTATATGTATAATCAAATAGCTAATAACGAACAGAAAAATCGAACGCCGAAAAAGCGAAGTATGAATAATGATATGGGCAGGAATCGATTATTGGGGGAAAACCATTCATTTTATTTGGTGAAAAATGAACAGTGCTAATTACCTTGACCGAATGAAAAATTTTGCACAGAATACGTGTTCTAACGAGACAATGCTGTTGTGCTTACAACGAAATTTATGCAAGATTACTTTTTAAAAAGAAAAGACTTGTATTCTGAAATGGCCAACGTACTCTCCCGATCTAACTATAGCAGAGTATTGTTGGGGGATTATTATCGCGAGCAGTGCATGAAGCGGGAAGGTAATTTGAAAATGCAAAAGAGTTACAAGAATGTATGCAAACAGAAATGATAGAATTTATCGCAAACTAAAATTAAAAGATAATAGAAAACAAAAAAAATCCTTGGAGGTTCCATACACTAGTAGAAATACACACATAATCCAATTTTGTTAGCATTTACGCATTTTTATAGTTTATATTAATATTTGTCTTTGCCTCCATTCGTACGTCTATATTTATTCCGAGCGAATCGACTGACATTATTTAAATGTAAATTTTGTTTACGTACAAGGCAGCCCTTACACACAATTCACAACGTTTATGCTAACACAATTATAACGCGAGATATTAAAAACATCACAGGCGTGTACTATTTATGACAGAAACGAATACTGTACAATTTTATATAAATAATATAAATGTAAAATAAATCTTGAACTTTATATAGGTAAATAGAATTATAGATTTTAAAGTTAAACAAAAACGTTTTTCGATGGTATTTGAACCTGTGGTGAAAAATAACAGGCGCACGGAAAATAGACACTCTACCAACTATGGCTGTTGGAAAAGTTATTTATGCTACGGTACATATTGCTGTATGGAAACTTTAACATTAAATATTTCGTGAACTGTAGCCAGTAGCGTCCAAAACCATACATCGCTACCTTTAATATTGTAAGCTCCATCACACTGCAAAAACATATTTAAATATCGGTGGAACTTTTGGAATATATTTGTTCGAAGTATTTAATAAAATATTACTGTCGGCTATATTTTCAAATCTATGAATACGTTTCAGTTTCTTTTAGTTTTGCATAAACGATGGTAGCATATATTTTAGGATGGATTTAAAAATTTCTCAATAAAGTAGAATATATGAATTAGTATGATAAGTATTACAATAAATACAAGGGGACAATATCCTTAAATGGTTTCAAAATATCAAACTATTGTCGTTTAATGTGCAGGAAAATAGAGAAGCGAATACTTTTTCCTCTGGCTTTTAAAATAATTTAGACCCGAGAAATTAACAAAAATGTGGTAATTAAAAGGAGTCATTTTATTGTACTAATCGGTCTATTTTCACGCGAGTATAATTTTAATATAAATTTGTAGACATTAATTCAGAGATCAACACGACAAAAAAGGCGACAAGCGTGTACTTTTTAATTTTCGCGCTATATCTCGGTAAAGTACGTAGCCGCAATTTGACAAAAGAGGTGAAATAATTTTTTTTTTTCAACGAGAAAATGCAAAATTCTCTATGACAAATAGAAACGGAGATATAGCGTTTCAAACTTTGACTAAAAAAAATCACGTTTGACGAGGCAGCGTGTATAAAAATGAGGCATTTTACGATTTTTATACTTTTTTCGTCAAACTTTGATACGCTATATCTCCGATCCTGTTTGTCACAGAGAGTTCTACAGGATCGTATTTTTAACGTTAAAAAAAAAAACAAAATTTATTTGAATACTATTTAAATGCAACTGTTTAAGATACAAGATCTTCAAGCATTCTAACAGCTTCAATTCGTTCTTTGATCAAACGTTCAAGCTACACTGGATAAATAAATATTTGAGTTCGAAAAAAAACTGAGCTTTGTCTCGGTTCGAGTTTCAAGTACTCGTACAGGCTCTTGTTCGTGTATTTGTCAAATATCCGAATGGTAAACCCCTCGAATAGTCTCTCGAGCCTCGGTTGAAACAGAAACGCGGACGTTGACAGGGACGGATGGAGGACCGACAAGGAAACGGTGGCTCGTAGGAAAGTTTCGGAAGCGGACAGACGGCAGAGGGAAAGGGTAAAAAGCGAAAACTTACCGGTAATTTTCTTTCCGTTCTTCCTCCAGTGGATCTTGGGCGGCGGCGTACCCTCCGCCGTGCAGTAGAAGCTCGCTACTCCGCCTGCCTTCACCTGCTGCGATTGCGGCCTCACCAGGAACGTCGGTGGATCTGCGAGCACAAGATCAAGGGAAACCTTTGATTAGAGTCGAGTCGTCCCTTCGGGCCGCTTCGATGGCCGCTGTTGCTCTCCGGAGTTAATAAACGCGAGAGACCCCTCGGTATATCGAGAAACGTCTCTGAAAGAAACTCGCTGCTGGCCAGGAGTAAGCAAATTACAAGAGCCACCGATAGATATAGTATTTCCGGCCGGTCGAAGGAAAAGAGTATCGGTTCTCGCGTTCGCGTACAGCTCGGTCGTTCGGGTTACGGATATAGTATTAAAAAAAAAAGAAATAAAACACGAAAAAAAAAAAAATTGAAAAACGAAAAACGTTGCTCCGCGGATTCGATACCGTGGAAGCCGCCGTGTAAACTAGATAATCGAAATTTGCTATCGCAGGGAAATCGAGCTCGAATCGGACCGCAGCGCGAACGCGACGCCCTGAAATCCGCCCGGAAACTCGAACGGTCCGATTTTAACGCCGACGGGAACTCCGAAACTGACTCGACACGCTTTCGCTCCGGGAATAAAATAGACGCTCGTTTCAAGACGGACGAATGTGCACCTTTGTCGGATCGTCGTAGTTACTCATGGTCCACCCCTGGGCGAGCCAACATCGCCCTCGTCGGAAACAGAAGGACCGAACCAAAGGGCGTGTGCTATCTGGAGCGAGACTACTGGCCAAGCACTAAATTGGTCTCGAAACTTTGCGATCGTACGGATCGTTTATGGCCACTCTTCCATGGACCGTCGACCCGAACGCGAACGGTCTCGCTTTTTCGCCGGTTAGATCTCTATCGGGTCCACGAATCAGAAAACAAATTCTATCGCAAAGGGGGAGAAAGCAAATTAAACGGACGTTACAACGTCGAACGCGTCGTTTTTAAAGAGCAACTATAGAAAATTGAACAGAAAAATACTATTCATTATTGAATAAAATTAAAAGCAAACGGACGTTCCAACGTCTTTTGAACACATCGTTTTTAAACAGCAACTATAGAAAAATACTGTTCATTACTGAATAAAATTAAAACCAATCGTATGAAAGAAATAACCATGGCTCGTACTTAGAAAAAAGATCTTTTCCTATTAAAAAAATATTGTGCTTGTAAGATATTATATCCGACCTACTATATTCACCGGATCGTATCTCATCTGATTTTTATTCGTTTTATACATTGATAAATTCTTCAAAACCACCGAAGAAACAAATACAATTAATTTGGTATATAAAGAAAATTGATATGGGCAGGGGAATGGATCTGTTCAACAAAAAATATGCATTTTCATTTAAAGGAAGGATGCAATTCTTAAATGCACATGCACTGTTGAATTTGAAAAAAATTTAAGGTCCTACAGATGTAATGCTCTTCGAGCCATTCGCTTTCCGCCTTTGACAGTTTTTCGTAAATGCATTAATAACAGAGTTATGAATTGAAACAATTACATGGACCACTCTGTATATTACACACGGTTTCTTGATTTTCCAATTTGCCTCGCTGCAACAGCGCGAGGAAAAAGAGTTTCAATAAACGAGGGAATACTGTTGACATAAAAGCCACTGTTCGTGATTTACCTTTGTAAATCTAATCAAGAGGTTACCAGGCCAAGAATCTCGAAAGTCTGTTCACCGTAATCCGTGTAGCTTCTCCATCGACGCGCGTTGGCGCTGTAAAAAAGAGCGTACGCGTTTCGAAACAGGATCGATCGTCGAGAGGCCTGGTAACGTTTCCGCGGTTGAATCGAATCCAATCGAATATCGGAATAATCGCGCCTATCGCGGAATAGAAGATTATATTGGGCAGGGGAGGGAGGGGGGGGGGGCGATATCGAAAGGGCAACGCAGGGGGACGTTGATGGAGGGAGAAACGCGGTGGATGGCTCGAAAATTCGTGCGGGAACGAACGCGAACGCGCTAATCTATCGGCTGTGCACGAAAACTGCGCGACGCATGGGGACGGGCGAAACGCAATTTAAGGTAAATATTATTCCATCGGCGAACCGTCGATAATTTTTGATCGAATCGCTCGTTCGAGATTATTGCTATCCGGTCGGGTCGCATTGTGGCCGGCCGCGCGATGATTATCATACCGAAATAGTTCGTAACAGGTGCATTAATCGAGCACGCTCGCGGCATGCGCGACGACCGATGGATTTTTAAATATTCCAAACGCTCCGGGGCCAATGATTTCACGGGATAACAACCGGCCATCGGGGGTAAAATGAATTTAATGGAGTCCGCGCGCCCCGTTCCGACGGGGATTTCTTAATTCTATGGGCTTACACGACCCAGCAAAAGAAACGTTCAAAATTTCTCGACCGAACCCGGAGCTACTGTTCCCCCGTGAGAAGAAGGCACAGCGTGTTTAAACTAATGTGTACTAAACTAGTAATTTTTTTTTTGCCACAATACCTTAATAATTCTTTACGTAGAATGGACAGGGTAATGGATCTATGCAACAATAAATACGTATTTTCATTTAAAGAAAAAATGCAACCCGTAATTGCACATGCACTGTTGAATTTGAACAAAATTTAAGGTCCTACAGATGTAGTGTTCTTCGAACTATTTACCTTTCTCCTTTGATATTTTATTCGCCAATGCACTAATAACGGAGTTATGACCTGAAATAGTTGCATGGACCACCCTGTATATCGTACAGTGTTTGTTTCATTTCAATTTAATCATCTATCGAAAAGTATTCGAACTTACGCTTGACAACTTAGTATGAGAAAATTAATAGTGTCAAAGTAATATAGTTATAGTCCGGGCCACGGTATAGCGAGGTCGCAAACTCGAGTAGGTGTCAAAGTTTACACGTTTCAGCTCCCGGAACAAGTGAATTGACAGAAATGCGAGCAGCTAAGGGCCTTAGACCATAGTCAGGGCCGTACGAAGAAATGTTTTATCTAGTGTCGCCATTTTTAGAGGTATCGTAACAGGTCAAGGTCTTACTCAAGTCTTGAATATCTTAATTTACTTGCTTATAACATATGCGTGTAGAAAATGAAAAAAAGGAGTGCAGTTACGGACACAGACAGAGATTCAGAAAGGCACCTCAAGCAAGATGTCATGTACGGCCGTAAGTGCAGCAGCAGTAGTCGGTCCCAACCCTCAAGAGTTTAGTTTACGACCTCGGTACATCGTGGTCCGGACTATACATTCTTGAAATGAGCCCCAAACGTGATTCGTAAGTACGTTTCTATCCCTCCCAAGCATATTATGCACGTTTGTAGACGGACTGCAACAAGAGTGAGGATGTACACACGCCGTCTTCTTACGGAAGAACAGTAGCTGGATTTGTTTCGAAACGGGATTGCACTGCGCATCAAAAGCACCTGCTGCTCGAATGATAATTTACGATCGAATATTAAGGAGCTGCTCGATAAACAGCCGCAAGCTCGAATCCTACCACTAAATCTTGCTTTGGTATTCTTCTACCCGGTATTCTTCTCTATTCTTTCTCCCGCGATGGACGAGCCACGATTCCCCGTTCGATCGAAATATATTGCCGTGGAATACTCCGTTTTAACGAGTCCTCGATGGTCGATTCCACGTCAAATTCATCATCTTTTGCGTTCGATCTCGGAGGTTTTATCGAAGTTACAATATAACGTGTTTCACGTAAAATTCTATGGTATTGAAGGGCTCTAGAGTATATAAGCTTGGAATCGGGGGGCAGAAAAATAATGGAAAATGTTTATATAAACACGTGCTCTACATGATTTTCTAAAGTCGTATCCATTGTTGTGCTTTTAATAACAAATTGAGCTGGCATAATTGATTCTGCCAAACTGTTTGTACACAATGTTCGATAACTCTTTATTTTCCTTAATGGGAGAATTAACAGATCATTCTTTCGCCAATATCTCGAAAATACTGAATTGCATGGGGTACTAGGACTTCCACTGGATGCACCATAACGGTGTACCAACATAATTTAGGCAGTTCTTGAACAAATAATGTTTTATTTGTGGATTTCCATTTTTTGGAGCCATTTAAATATTTTTTATTGAAATACTTCGGCAAGAAATACGAGGGAACTATTTGAATTTTGTCAGAAAATCTATTGTAACGTGTATAATTGAAAAAACGTCATTCATAAAGAATGGGTTTGCAAAATTGTTATAAACGCATTATTAAAACGGCCATGAAAGCTGCCAATTTCGTTTGTAGGCTGCATTCAAACATTGTAGCATGAAAACTGTAGATTAGCCGTCTGTGGCAGCTGAACGCGTGGGTGGATTACGTGAAACGGGCTACACTGTTACTTATGTGTATAACAGTTCATTATGATGTCAATTATAGAACACCCACCCTAGAAATAACATTACTTTGTACAGAAAGCTCAAGGAACACGTTTACATTTTGTCGGTTTTGATATGCACACGATAACACGAAATTTGCAAAATAAAAAATTTTTCATAACGTTAACGATTAAAGCAACAATTTTAAATCTAATAGAGACTTCAGTCCAAACAGTCAATCCTAAATAAATAGTAACTTAGAGTGGACAGTTTCGAAGACAGAAAAGTTGTCCTACGTAGAATTATATTTTACAGTCAATAATTTTGTGATTTATAATATATAATCGTAGCATTCCGATGACAATACTACTAATAGTAAAATTAACGTTATATTAATTATTTAGTATTATGGATACATATAATCAAATGTAATTAATAGAAAATACGATCGAATATTATGCTGACTTATGATTACGTTAAATATTTATCTATACCTGCAACTTCAAATTAATTAAGTTAACGTTAACAACGTGTAAAATCTCGTTTGTTTTTCAATTATTTCAGACATTTCTTTCAGAATTGTATTTTGCGATAAATTGTTTCGCTTCTCGGCGATGGATTCTTTTAATTGTCGAATGTTATCAAATCGTTTCACATTTTCATACACTGCTCGCGCACGTTAGTATATATTTTCTCTGTTGTAAAATATGTTCCGACAATTTTTGCTCGATAAAATGCAGTATTACCAGAGTGGAACATG